TGTCTGAATATAAAATTTAAAAGACTTTTAGAAAACAACAGATGTGCAGTTGTAGAACACGTAAAAAACAAAACAAAAAAGGGGTTCTTTTTAAGCATTATGTTTAGAAGTTAGAAATAGCTTCAGACTTTTGTGCAGTGCTGTAAAGCTACTTTTTCATATGTCCTAGGGCATGCTGCACTCACAGCAGGGGTCTAGTGCAGAGAAGGACGTCTGCACATAAAAATCACTCAAAAAAATAAATAAATCAATGTTGGTTGCTGGAAGAACAAAAAGATACTTAAAAAGCAGTTCTTCCTGCAGTTGCACATTTGAATACACAATGTATTTTTTCAAGCTGCCAAATAAAAGTTCTGGCATTACATTTTACTGATGGAGAGGAGGAGGAGGAATAGACAACCAACAGCTGTAGGTTCATAATTTCCCTCAGAGTTTGGAAAGTTTAGGCTTATTCAGAAGCTGCAACAACAACCACCACTTCCAGGTCTACTTAAAACTAATGAAGCAATTTGACAGTCTGTGAGAAATGCATAAAGGCTGGTAAAAATGAATATGCTAATTATTTACTAAATATAGAAAAGGCATATCCGCTTTTGCTTAAATTTATATAGTAAAACAATGAGTGGGACATAACTGGGCGCTTTAGGCCTAAAGAATTTGATTTCAAGAATTGTCTTTAGATATAAGAGCTGACAAAGAAAATAACACACAAAAGATAAAAATACTGAGAAATGCACACCTGAAATCTGTTTTGCCAAGTGGATACACACTGACACAGTCCAGCATGTGAAATTTGAAACCCCCAAACTCCTAAATTATTTATTTATCAGATGGTACTGGTCATAGGAATGAGAAAACAAAGAGCAAGCTGAATGATGATTAGCCTAAAACGACATCAGCAGCTGTTTCTATGTTCATAAGAAAAGACCCTTATTGTGTCTTTCCATGTTGCCGGTGTCTGCGCAAAAAAATAAAATAAAAAATGAACAGAGGAAACGCTATGACCTAACTAACACAAGATCCGTGTCTGGCTAACTTTTCAGAGCAAAAATTAGTGGGGGAGCCTATTTATAATATGACTATTACGAACATTAGATAAATTAATTATAGAACAAACACAATAAAGTTTTTATTAGACCACCCTGTAATGTGCAAAAACTGAGTGCAAAAATGAGCCACCTGCTTAGCTGCAAATGTGATTATTTGGAAATATATATTTGACATTAAACCACAAATAAAATCTGCATGACCATAAACGGTAAACGTCAATATTCTGAAATAGACCAATAGCAACTTCTCAAACTGCCTTCTAACAAGTCCCTAGGTTAAAATTCACACCAACAAGCGATAGCTTCAGCTTCCAGCCTATCCAGTATGAGCTTCAAACAAAAAGAAGAATCACCCACACAAAATACAGCTAAAGTCTTCATTTTTACAATGAGAATAATTATCAAGACTACCCGTTCAATTATAATGACCAACAACTCAGCACCAACCAAGGCATGACAACCAGAACAATAAATCCCCTGCTTCTCCTGGTGTGTGGGAACAAATGAAGATATAGGGACTTTAGTCTTCTATCATCATTCTTGTGAAACAACCCATACTCCTACCTAAGCTGGTTAGGGATTCTCTTATCTCTTTGTAACTCTCTCCACCCCATCCTCCTGCTTCACTTTCAGTGCTTTGGGGGAGCTGGGAGAGCTGCTGAGGGAAGGGGAAACGGGTGTTATTCACAGGCAACACGAAGCACAGAAACACTAAAAGTAACAGTTCCTTTAAAGACAAGTGTAAAAATGACAAATACATTAATAGAAAATGTATTTTTGATAGCTAGTGCCCTAAGCTTATGTCAAGGTATGTCCAAAATTCAAAGATACAAATAATATTAAAACTAATAATGAATTATGTATTGAAAAAAACTGAAAGATGAGAATGTATTGGGTTTTTTTAAATCCCCTGAGTATATTCCCATAAGTTTTGCATTTATTGTTAAGTAAAGATGATCATTAATTAGTCTTTGTCTATAATAGGCATTTAATACATGAATCACAAAATCCTTATGACCATACTGCTAACCAGGCTCACACTATGCAAAAAAATAAAAAACACATAAATGTTAGCGCTTGTTTAGTTCTGGTTATTATTTACCACTGTTTTTTCTCTTTTTTACCACAACTACCATAGTAGCAACTGCCAAAGATATTCAAGAGTCATCTCAGGTTTTGATGAAACTTGACATTTTTGTTTGATCCCACAGTGCATGAGCTCAAATTTTAGGTCAATCGGACTTGTGGTTCCAGAGACACAGCACCCAAAATTTTCCGATTTTGACAAAAATGGGTGGGATCAACAATTTTCAACCCCAATTATCTCAGGAACTACTAGGGTTAGTTACTAAAAACTTTGTGTCATTGGAAAGGGAATTTGATGAGGATTCCAAATCCACCTTTATTTATTTACACTACAAATGCATGTAATTATACACATTTATAATGGATTTTATGGCTGGTTTCTGCTGATAGGTTTTTTTTTTTTTAATTAAAATATATCCTAACAAAAAATATTACCCCTTTGAAACTTTTATATATTTTTGATAAGAAGTAGAGCATATCATTTCAGGAAAGGTCATCTCAGTCACATGATCCACTAGGTAAATTTCAAGGTCATAGGAAAGATCAAAAGGACAATGGACTTTATCGTACTCAAATAAAGAAGTTGAGCTGGAACCCTCATCAAATTCCCTTTTCAATGACACCAAGTTTGTAAAAATTTACCCCCATTTTTTTAACCATTTGTCAGACTGACCTATATTTTGATATCCTGCACTGTGGGATCACAATTAAATATACAGTTTCATCAAAATTTGAGACGGTCAGGTTAAACCCATTTGGAGATTTGTTACGGAATGACCCGTATATTTCATCTGAGAATACCATAATTTAAGTAGGAATGTTGTATAATTGTATCTGAGACGTGTGATGTGTTCACATGTAACAATATATATTTTGAACTTGTATTTGGTGTTAGGTTGAGAATGGAAAATGTTTAATTCAGATGATATTTTTTGGACAGAAATGATGCTGAATCTAAAACATTGAATACCGAAGAGAAGAAATCAAACAAATGACACACACTAAAGTAATTCAGTGTTTCCTCTATCATTAACCCCCACCCCCTGAACCATTGACATTAGTAACGCGGCGCACTGCTAACCACCACCCCACAGTCCCGTCAAATTCATTAACCTATGGGAAACACTGTAATTCCTCCTAAATTTACCCAGTCACAACTTCCCAAGTAGTCTGTCGATTTCTATATTTAACAGTTGCATCAATGTGCTTTACTAGAGTAAAAAAAAAAAACTTTAAGATGCAATCAACAGTATAATTTGAATTTACATAAATTAAAACTGTACAAAGCTTGTCTAATGAATTTCATAAACTCAAGAATTGAAGAGTTCAGTGATAGTTGTATGAATGTTATTATAAAACGAGAAGAGGAGTCACTTTACCCAAATCGAACATTCATTGTTCCCAACATGAATTACAAAAAATAAATAAATAAAAATTACAATCTCTAAATTTCTATATTTGCAGGGGTCTGATTTTTTACGTCTTTTTGTGCTTTATGGTAAACAAAAAATCCTTGAATATCTCAAAAATATCAAAACTAACCTAACTAAGCTTTAAATTTGGTTAAAAAAAAATGGGAACCAATACATTATTACTACTGTGCGCATTGTTTACATGATTGCTATGGCTACCAGTCCAGCACATGATGCATTTCCAATAGAATTCTCATTTATTTGTCTACTTTCATTTTCTTTATTAGATAATCACAGGTTTGTTTGTTTTTTACAATCCTCATAGTTCCAAAAAAGTTCAATCTGGTCCTCTGGACATAAAAAAAAAAAAAAA